CTAGAATGGATTCATGTTGCAATTCCAGGCTCAAGGGTACTAGGATTAAGGTTGTGAGTGCTTCTAAGTAGTCTGAATAAAATAAAAGGAGCAGGGAGATACTGTTACCTCTCTTGTTACCCTTGCTGCCTTGTTTGTGCCATATTGTTTCTGCTGCAATGCCTGTTGGTTGTCCCTGCCTTGGAGCTGGCTGATCATGGAATGAAAACTCTATGAACTGTAAGCCAAATAAACTCCTTCCCCTTTAACTTTGGATGTCTGATATTTTGTCTCAGCAACAAGAGACACACCTATAATCCCAGCACTTGGGAGGCTGAGGCAGGAGGATCACTTGAGTTCAAAACCAGCCTGGGCTACATAGTGAGTTCCAGGGCGGTCTGAACTATGTAGTGAGACCCTGTCTAAAAAAAAAAAAAAATTTACAACTATGTCCTATAAGCAAAATTTATGTCATCTTGTTCTCACAAGGATTCACAAGGCTTGGTCTTCTTTCTTTCTTTTTTTTTTTTTCATTGTCTTCTTTCAAGGCTATATTACAAAGTTGTGTGCCTTTGTCCTGTTTCTGTAAACGCAATTGCTACATCACTAGAAAGACCACCCCTCTTCAACCAAACATATAAAAATGGAGCCTATCCTTAGTTCTGGGCTCATCCTTTGAACATTAATCCATTGAACTTGTGTTCACCTAAAATCTAGAATAAAATCCTTGTTTCCCAGTGGTCTCTCCTATCTCTTAAATCCTATAACACTAGGAGTACAAGTATACACACCAGGCCTGGCTTTCTGTGGAATGTGTCTTCCACTAGTGGCACATGTGTGTCCTTCTGAAGTGTTAAAAGAGTGTGCTCTTCTGCCCACTAGGTCCACATGACACTGTGTCTGTAGTATGGTGGAAGAATCTGTGTCCTGTGGAAGGGTCTAGGACCTAGTTCTGGCAGACTAGATGCAACTTCTGGGCTGGAGCACAGACATCCTGGAGTGAGAGGCTGACCATCTTGCTAAGGGTGCAGAGAAGCCAGCACCAGGCCATGCTGACTGCTGAGCACAACCACATCAGGGCAGCTGCCGCAGTCACTGCTGTCCAAGTGTATAGGATCTGTGGGTAGCTTTCAATGAGCTGCTTCCATTCTCCAAGACCAATTTGTTTCTGCATAGGTCAAACAGGTGAGGTGGATAGGCCTGAGGGAGTGCCCTGGAGTCATGGACAGTGACATTTTTCCTGATCCCTCCTTGCTTATGTGTTGGTTTTGCTCTCCTGATTCCCTTGGTAGAGGCAGCTCTGATGGCTCCTATGATGGTTCCTATCCCAAAAGCCTGCACAAGGAGCCAACATGGCTTCTGAATGCATCTGGAAATGGGTACTAAACACAGGATGGGTTCAGGGACCCCCTGGTCCCAAGAGATGGACCTGGGCTAGGACTCCACAGAGTACCTGACCTCCACGATCCCCTCTGTTGGGCCACAGTGGATTGTCAGGTCTCCAGGAACTGGTCAGTTTGGAGCTGGCATTCCTGGAATCTGCCCTTCCTCTTCCTCATTCACACCTAGCTAAGGAGGAGTCCCTATGGGCCTTCTGGGAGGCTAGGAGGAAGACTTTTGGAAAAATCTTTACAGTGTGAAACCAGGTTGTTTCCAAGGGCACTGCCCCTCCTCCTACTCAAGGGCTGTGACTGTTGATGTTGACCGTGAGCACCTGGCTGACTGTCTCCCTGATCTGCACCAGCAGCCCCTGCCTCACTCACTGGAAGGGGTCAGTGTGCTGTGCACAGTCACGTATTGAGGGTGGGGACCTACGCTCCTGCTTCCCAGGGTGCAGTGTCTATGGAGGTCACTTGGAATTTCACATAGGAGGTTGGTCCCTCTTCCCCTATTTATTGATTTATTTGTATCACGATGGACTCCTGGATATTTACAGTACATGTAGGGTTATAATGCATTGCTACTTTTATTTTGTTGCTGAAATGTTGCAGCTTTGGCCACTGGGAGCTCTCCAGTTGCTCATACATGATTGTGTGTTTCGTTATTGTTGTGTTCCTTTTTCCCAAGCACTTTTTTACTTCCTGGCACTACAAGATGCTAAATGCTCATTTTGTACATTTCCTGCCCAGGTCCTGCAATTGGCAACTCCCCAGAGAGTGGAGAATGGGTTAGAAGCCGCACTTTGGGTTTGGGAAGGCTCACTGCCACTGGGTTGGTGTCTTCTTCAGGCCTACTCAGCAGAAAACACAGACGTGTGCATGCGTGCTTCTGTTCGTGCAGCTTCTGGGATCCCATGTGCATTAAGTGTCCATCAGCTGCTCTCCATTTACTACCCACTCCTTCAGCCTGTCTGGGGGAGGTGTCTCCACCAACCACAGCACAGAGCTCTTGCAAATCCCTGAGCCTTTAGCGTCAGGTGCCACTCCTTTCCGAAGGCAGTCAGCTCAGGTCAGCCTGTGTCCCCTCCCCTCCAGTAGGCTGGCTTCCTACACTTGTTTTAGTTACATTCTCCTGTCACATGTGCATTCTCCCCTGGGATCCCACACCCCCTGAACTCTTAGTAAACGTTTTCATACATTAAGGTTGTGGTGTCTGTCTGTCTGTCTGTGGGCGTTTTTCCAAAGTGTACCGACTGGCACTTCCTCCATCAAGGAAGGTGAGTTTCTGTTGCTCTTCATTCTCACAAGCACTGGTGCTGTCAGTTTGGGGATTGTAGCCATTTTTTGTAGATGCATATTGGTATCTTACTGTTTCAATTTGCGATTCTCTAACGTAGGCAGATTTTCACATACTCACATATGCCATCTGTATGACTTTTCTGGTGAGGTGTCTGTTTAACCTAACCCTTTGACTTATATTAAAATTAGGTTATTTTTCTTTTTTCTTATTTTGCTGTACTGGGGATTGAACATAGGACCTTTGCACTGGGTTGCATCCCCAGACCTTCTTTAATTTTTTTGAGACAAGGTCTCACTGAGTCATTAAATTGCCCAGGCTGGACTTAACTTTGGAATCCTATTGCCTCAGACTCCTAGATTGCTGGGATTACAGATAGAGAGTTCGCTTATTGTTGAGTTTTAAGAGCTTATATATTCTAGATATAATTCTGTCAACCAGGCATGGTGGCTCATACCTGTAATCCCGACACTTGGGAGGCTGAGGCAGGAGGATTGCCACAAGTTTGAGGCCAGCCTGGGCTACATAGTGAGCTCAAGGCCAGCCTGAACTACATAGTGACACCTTGTCTCAAAAACAAAACAAAATGAAACAAAGTAAAAACAAACAAAAGGAAAACAAATAACACTCAAACAAAAAACTCTCTTGTATCAGAACATGTGTTTTGTAAATATTTTTTCCCAGTTTGTGGCTAATTTTTTCATTGCCTTAATAGTGTGCGTCACAAAACTGAATTTAAAAATTTTAATAGAGTCCAATTTACTGACTTTTTCTTTCATGGTTTGTATTTATCAGCGGGCCGGGGATTTAGCTCAGTGGTTCTGCTGCCTGCCTTGCACTTAAAAAAAAAAAAAAAAAAAAAGAAAAGAAAAGAATAAATTACTTGTATTTATCATATTGTAGGTAAAAAAATTATTTCCAGAGCTGGGGGTGTACTTCAGTGGTAGTGTGTGTTTAGCATGCACCAGGCCCTGGGATTGATCCCCAGCACCACCAAAATCAGTAAACAACAAATCCAAGCTCACCTAGATCTCTCCAATATTATCTTATAGAAGTTTATAGTTTTGCATTTTATATTTAGGTCCGTAGTCAATTTTTATGAATTCATAAACCAAAAAAAAAATTTTTTTTTTTTGGTCCTGGGGATCGAACTTGGGACCTTGTGCTTGCGAAGCAGGTGGCAGAACCACTGGGCTAAATCCCTGGCCCTGTGCTCAATTTTTATGTGTAGATCAATATTTTTGTATATGGACATCCAGTTGTTAAACCACAAAAAAAAAAAAATAAAAAAGACAGTCTTCTGTGACCCTGTCTGTACTCCTTTGTCAAAGGCAGTTGGTGGGGCCCAGGGATTTAGCTCAGTGGTTCCGCCACCTGCCTCGCAAGTGCAAGGTCCTCAGTTCAATCCCTAGTATCCAAAAAAAACAAAAAAAAAACAGCTCTATATTTTTTCTTCCCAATTGCACATATTTTATTTATTCTTCTTGTCTTATTTTGTTGGCCTGAATTTCTAGTACGATACTGAGTCAGAGTGGGGAGAGGAGAGAGTATATTGCTCCTGATTGCACAGGAAAACATCTAGTCTCTCCCCATTGTCTGATGTTAGCTGAGCCTTTTTTTTCACTTTTTTTTTGTTTTGTTTTTTGAGACAGGGTCTCACTATGTAGTTGAGACTGATCTCCTGCCTCAGCCTCCCCAGTGCTGGGATTACATGTATGCACCACCATGCCAGGCTAAAATTAGCTTTTACTTTTTTTTTTTTTTTTTTTTTTTTTTTTGTACTAGGGATCAAACTTGGACCTTGCACTTGCAAGGCAGGCAGCAAAACCACTGAGCCAAATCCCTGGTTTAGCTGAGCATTTTTGATGATCTTTATCAAGTTAAGGAAATTCTCCTTTGTTCCCAGTTGAGTTTTAATCATGAATGGGTATTGGATTTTGTCAAATGTTTCTCCTGCAACATATGATGTCTATGTGGTTTTTCTTCCTTAATCTGTTGATGAGATGGACTACATTACATTAATAGCTCTCCAATGTTGAATCAGCCTTGCATCCCTGGAATAAACCTCACTTGGCTGTGATGTAGAATTTTTATACATTGCTAGAATTGATTTGCTAACATTTTGTTGAGTTTTGCATCTACATTCATGTGAGATACTGGTCTGTAGTTTCTCCTTTTTTATTTTCTTATGTCTTTATCTGGTTTTGGTTTTATCAGGGCAATACTGGCTTCAGAATGAATTATGAAGTGCTCTTTTTGCTATTTCTGGAAGAAGTTAAAGAGAATAGATACAATTTTTTTCCTTAAGTGCTTGGTGGAATGGAGGGCTGGTGGTGTAGCTCAATGGTAGAAAGCTTGCCTAGCATGTGCAAGGCCCCAGGTTCAATATGGAAAATTAATTAATTACTTATATCTAATTAGATATAGGCTTGTTCAGTTTGTTTCTTCTTGTATGAGTTGGATAGTTTGTGTCTTCAAGAAATCTGTCCAGGGCTGGGGATTTAGCTCAGTGGTTTTGGCGCCTGCCTTGCAAGCTCGAGGTCCCAAGTTCGATCCCTGGTACCAAAAAGAAGAAGAAGAAGAAATCAGTCCATTTCATGTAAGTTATCAAATGTGTAGACCTAGAATTGTTCATAATATTATTTTATTGCTCCTTTTGTGCTCCTGGGATAAGCAGCGAGGGATCCTTTACTGTGTAATTTCTGCTTTCCGTTTGTGATAAGCCTGGCCAGTGGTTTAACAATTCACTGAAAGTTTTTTGTTTTTTGTTTTTTTTTTCAAAGAACAAGGTCTTGGTTTCATTGAATTTCCCCTAATTTTTGTTATTTCTTCTGCTTGCTTTAGTATTTATATTGCTTTACTTTTCTGTAGTTTCCAAAAGTAGGTGTCCAGATTACTAATTCAGATCTTGTCTCATACTGTGTGCATCTAATGCTACAGATTTCCCTCTTAGCACTGTTTCCATGAATTTTATTTATTTATTTATTTTTTGGTGCCAGGGATTGAATTGCACTTGTGAGGCAGGCGCAGTGCCACTGAGCTAAATCCCCAGCCCCATTCCATGAATTTTGTAATTGAGTTTTCATTTTCATTTACTTCAGATTGTTGTAAATTTCTCTTAGGGGTTTTTGTTGTATGTCTGAGAGGCTTGGGTTTAGCCATGTACACCATCCCATCTGCATACACTAGGTGTGTGACCAGGTAAAGCAGTGTGTTGTGTCCAAGTGAACTGAAGTTCACCCCAGGTCCCCACAATGGCAGTTGTGCCTGTGGGTCATAAATTTGGATGTGGCTTCCATGCTTCTAATTGGGGGTGGGCCTGTCTTCTGTCAACTATAATTATACCCTTTAGGTCCTATTTTTGGACCCAGGGAAGCAGAGTTGTCCTAGGCCAGAGACAGACTCCTGGCTCCAGGCTCCTAGGCAGAGGACACTGGTCAGCCCCACCCAACAGGTCATGGACCAGCATAATGTTAGGTCAGCCTGGAGAGACAGCAGACATGCTGAGGCCCCAGCTGAACCAGGAGTACATCTGTGGTGTGTGGGTGCTGGAGACCCCCGTAATCAGGTTCCAGTACCCACCTGCCCAGTATATGACACAGGCTTGAGAAAAAAATACACTAAAAGACAGAACTAAGAGAAAGTAGGGTGACAGGACGACCAATGCTGGTTCAACTGACAAAGGCGCTGGCCAGTCCCAGGCACTGACTTTTCTTGGCAATCAATTAGGGTAAAGGCAACATGTGGTTTCTATGGAAATTAATGTAAACAAGGCTCATAAAGCACAAGACAGAGCATTCTTGAATTAGGAACAGAATAGACAAAGTGTATGATTGTAATTAGAACACTGTCCTTCTAAAAGGAAGATTTTAGTTGTGGGTTCAAGTTATTTTGACCTTGGCACATAAGCTTTGGCCAGGCTCACTTCTATAAACAGCCAGTTGTGGGGTTCACTCTTCACAGCCTGCTTTGGGCATAATCGATATGGTCCTCTGCATGTGGGTAAATGCATACCAGGCCCTCAGAAAGAGTCCTCCTGTCTCGTGTGAAATACCATCGATGGCTATGACATAACTCACCGTGCACACTGCTACCTGGCCCATTGTGTTCCCTCTGGGAATGGGGCTGCATCTTCATCTTCCTGGCTCCGGTTGTGGGAAGGTTCTTCCGAGCATCTGCTGCAGGATTGCAGGAGGTTTGTAGACAGCAGGCTCCTTGCCTGGGAGAGTAGACATGTGCCCAGCACCAGGATGGCTGTTCATGAGTCACAAACCATGTTGAGTCACAGCCTGTGCACCCTTCTGCTGCGGGCTCTGAGAGGAAAATTTCCCCAAGAGTGGCTACCCTTAGCCATATTCTTCTGTGTTCTGTAATTACGTAGCCCATTAAATCTGTTTAGTGTGCAAAACATCCCAAATCAAGGAGCATTCAGCCTCTTGGACAGGAACGCGTGCGGAAACGCGAGCCAGACCGGTGACCAGACTCAAGGACCGTGGCGAACAACAGGCCTTAACTTCCTTCTTTCCTGTAGCGCCTTATAAACCTTATTCTCCCCCTCAGGTCTTCATCTTAAATAAAGCCTGTCCTTGATGAAAGCTTTTCTTTCTTACAGCCTCCACTAGAGGAGCTCACGGGCCTTTAAGCAGCTGTCCCCAAGCCAGAAGGCTCTGCTAGGCTCACCTCAGCTGCCTTTCACTCTGGCTTCTCCCTAGGCACCGGCACATCCGGGCTCTTCGTAACCTGGAAACAACCCGGGTCCAAAATCTGCGTGTATTACCTGGAAACAACCCGGGTCCAAAATCTGCGTGTATATGTGCAAGGTCTTGAGTTCGACCCCTGGTTCCGAAAAAAAAAAAAAAAATGTGTGTTCGAAATAAGAGGCGTGAGGGTAAGCCCTGGACCCGGGGCTGGGACGCGCCCAGCGACAGCTAGGTCACAGCGAAAACCATCGGCCCCTGCCCCCAGCTACAGCGAGTCGGGGCTCAGCTGCCCTGAGCGCGAGGGACCCGCGCCCCCGGGGTCCTGCGAGGCCCGCCCAGGGCCCTGCCCTCGCGACTGCAGTTTACGTCGGTGGCCAGCAGGTGGCGGCGCAGGCCCGCGCATCGCCGAGCATGGGGTCTCCTTCGGGTCCCGAAACTCGGGAGACGCGCAGAGGTGTCGTGGGCTTCCCAACGCCCGGCAGATGTAGGGCGCGCGTCATCTTGAGGGGCTGGGACAGTGGGGGGGGGTGGCTGGGACTGGGAAGCTGGTGGAAACCGAGCCCATTCCGCCCTTGGCGACGGCTCAGTGACGGACTAGCAGGGGGTGGAGTGGAAGGCGTGGCCCGGCCGGGAAGTGGAAGGCTCAGGGCCTGGTCGGGAAGGCGGGGGCGATCCCAGAGGGGATTTCCAGCCCCGAGCACGCTCACCGCCCCTGGGACGAGAAGTTGGTGCGAATCGGACCCCAGCTAAAAGGGGGCCACACCTGGCTCTAAGGGGCGTCGAGACCTGTTGGTTGACCTTGCCAGACTCCCTCCTGTAGGGACCTCAGCTCAGCAGTCCTCAGTATTTTAGAGAGAAATTTGCCGGTTCCTTCAGGGCCAAGGTCACGACGCTGGGGGACCCAGCCCGGGCTGCTGCCTCTCATAGCCCTAGCGAGTGCCCCGTGTCTGATCTGTTGAATAACCAGCCACCAGTTTCCTCAAGCTTCTGTGGTGGAGGCTTCAAGGTCCACTCGCGGCCAGTGAGCGGGGAGGTTGGAGTTTTTTATTCCACACTTAGCTACTATTATTTCTAACTCTGAAGTCACACAAAACACTGTGCGCAGTGAAACAGGAGCAGAGGTTACAGAACAGCTAGGAAAGGAGCTTTGAGAAGTCACCTTAGGTGATCAGATAAGAGGTCCTGGCAGCCCAGTTAGAAATCCAGCCTGGACAATTTAAGTGATTTAGCAAGACCCTGTTTCAAAACAGAAAATAAAGGACCTGGGATGTAGTTTAGCATGAAGGCTCTGGGTTCAATACCCAGGGCCAGAAAAAAAGAAAAGATTACAGAAGTAAAGTGCCTCCAAGGCATAGGGCTTGTTGAGAGCTGGTGTTCTGAAGCCTCAGTGTGGATGGCAGATGGTCTGGGGGAGGGGAGATGGGGCTGAGCTGAAGTGGGAGAGGGTGAGCCCGAGTTTGTTACCTGTTGGCCTTGTGACTGTTCACCAAGCACTGTGATGAAGTGACAGGTTGGCGGGTGTCACCGTGCTCAGTATGTCTGTCATGTGTACGCATGGCCCTGATTTAATTTGGCTGGTGGTTTCTGTTGGCACGATTAATTTATTCAGTAGTTTGTGCCTTGTGACTGTGCTATGCACCTGGGAGCTGTTTCTTTGTTAAATTTGGTGTGCCCAACGTCCGGTGGACATCTTTTGGCACAGATGTGTTGCCAAGTCAGTTCGCACTCAAGATGGAGCAAACTGATGTTTTATAAAATGGAGTTGCTCAGGGCTAAGGGCTGGAAGCTGCAATTCTGTACATCAGGGCGTTACTCACAGCGGGACACCCTGCTGTACACACAGGCCCTTCATGGCAGGGGTCCTGGCCTGGCCGGCTCTGGATCCTGCAGGAGCCACACCTTTGGCTGCTGCTTTCTGCATCTGACCAGTGGTCTCCAGGGGGCTGAGAGATTGAGTGTGGTCTCACAGCTCAGAGGGAGCAAAGGGTCTTCACTCTCTTCAAGGAGGAAGGGGTAAGCTGTTTCAGAATATGCACAGCTGGCATGGTGATTATTCAAGCCTGATGTCTCAGGTGCTGTAACTTCAGAAGGGCCATTTGGCCAAAAGGCCAAATTTCTCTCTGGGAGGGTTGTCCTCATGTGCCACAGCCAGAGAAGAGCACCAAAGTTGCATGAGCAAACAGTGTGACCTTATCTCCGCCAGCTGCCACAGCCCAGGGCCTTGTGCTGGCATCACTAAGATTTGCCCCTCTTTCCTGCACATACTCCTTATTGTTTGTCTGTCTGATGTGTAAGCATCATGCTCCATCATCTCCTCAAATGTCCTTTTCAGGTGGAAGTGCCACATATATGCATATGTAGCAAGACTAACCCCTCAAGACAATACTTGCAGTAATTATGTTTCTTCATCCACCTGACTCCACTGCAAGAGGCTCTACCCCAGCCCTGCCATCCCAGAGCCAGACAGGGCTAGAGGGAGGGGCAGCTCCCAGCAGCCAGTCCTGGGCAGCACAAGGGGAGCGAGGGACAGTCTGCTCTTTCACCATCCACACACACCAGAGCCTTTCTCTTCTTCACCCCTATTCTTCCCTGGGCACCCTGCAAAGCTTCTCTGGGAGGTCCCTGTACAGTATGGAGGCCTATTTACTAAATCACATGGTTGGAGACCTGGTAATAGGAAAATCATATTCATCCCAGTAACTCCATGCCCCCCCACCTTTAATGAGACAGGGTCTCAATAAATTGATAAGTTGTCTAGGCTTGGTCAAAATTTCAATCCTCTTGCCCAACCTCCTACAGCACTGGGATGACAGGCATGTCACCGTGCCCTGCTCTGTGGCCTCTGTAAAGGATGGGAACTTGGGTGTGTTAATTAAGCTCTAGAGAGGCCAAAGGGCTTGCACAGGAAGTGCAAAGGGTCAGAGAGTGCAGTGGTCCATGCTCTGAGTGAGGACAAGTTGTAGAAGCAATCTGTTTTTTTTTTTAAATTCTAATTTTTAAAGACCCATTTTATATCACAGGATCCCCGAATCCCCAAATCAGCTTCTGGGTCTCAGAAGAGGGCAGAGACCACCAGAAAGACAGGCAGGCAGCTCACAGAAACATGGTGCGGAATCCTTACACCAAGCGTTCACACTCTAGGATGTCCCACAGCATCAAAGAAGCAGACGCTGAGCAGGAACAAGAATGCACGAGGAAAACCCACGTCCAGCTGGGCACATGTTCCAGCGCTGAGACACATCTCCAGTGGGCACGAGTTTCAGAACTGAAATAGTGCTGGACAGGATTAGATATGTAGGTGGGAGAGGGCTGTGTGGGATGAGTATGAATTTTTAGGTACACTGTACCTAAAGCACAGTGAAATTGGGAAAAGACAACACAAGGTACGTGGCTCACATTGTGTGTGGAACAAAACTGCAGCGCTGGGGATTTATCTCAGTGGTGCTCCTACCTGCCTTGCAAGCTCAAGGTCCTGAGTTCAATCCCCAGTACAAAAATCACCAAAAAACAAAACAAAACAAAAAACCCAAACTTGCAACAGAGAAGGATCTGGATTTGGAAGCTGGGATCACATAAGAACCAGAAGAAAACAAGAGAATTCGCTAACTTCTGCCCAAGGAAAGGCTTCAACCTAAGATTCAAAGCCCAGATGCTCCAAGAGAACTGCTGGATATACTTGATCACATAGGTGTATGCTTTAAAAAGTTGCCTGACAAAAACAACATAAGCAAAATAAGACAACTGACAAATTCAGACAAAATATTCAGTGCTAATACACAAAATGTGAACAACCCTAATGTACTGTTGTGGTTAGGGTTGGTATGTTGTCCATTAGTAGAAAAGTCAGAGAATCTTCTGTTAAGATATTTGGCCAGGGGCTGGGGATTTAGTTCTGTGGTTTGGCTGCCTGCCTCATAAGGGCAAAGTCCTAAGTTTGATCCCTGGTACCAAAAAAAAAAAAAGTGGCCTTCTTTCTGCTCCAATTCCTGACACAGTTTGAGCACACAGAAGTAAGCAAAATCTTTCCGGAACAGCTGAACTCCTGACAGGGAAGTGATTTCTGGAGTCCCAAAATACTGGCAGGATGGGGGCGGTACTATTGCTCAAACACATGGCCCCACGCATCCCCAGGGGGAGTTGAGCTGCAGGCTGGGCTATCAACACAGCCAATGCATTGATCAATTATGCTATGCAATGAAGCCCCCATAAAACCAAAGGACTGAGTTGGGGTCTCCAGCTTCAGCTCCAACTCTGATAGGACCCTGCTAAGCCTCGCCTCTGCCTGCCCTAACATTCCTCCATTCTTCCAAGTACCTTCTTAAATATACTTGAGCCAGAGACCTAGGTGAGGATAAAGGACAGCTGCACTCCTGGGCCCTAGCTCAAGGCCTGTGACCTCTTGAAAGTATAGCATGTGTGCCTCCCTAACCTTCCAGTGGAATAATCTTATTAACCTAAAACCAGGGGTACCATTGAAGTGCAGATTCCTTTGCCTTAGCATCCCAAAGGATAAACTGAAAAAAATAACTGTTGGGATCACCACATAGGGACAGGGGACAGAAAAACTGCTTCTCAATCTTTTTTTTTTTTTTTGCACAGGGATTGAACTCAGAACCTTGCAATTGCAAGGCAGGCACAGTGCCACTGAGCTAAATCCCTGGCCCACAGACCGCTTCTCATTGAAAGCTTGAGTTGTGTTTTCTTTGAGGCAATAGCGACTCTTCACTTGGGCCTGCAGATGCCCAGCAGGTGACTAAGCTGGATAAAGCCCGGCATCGCTGGCTTTTATATCTTCTTCCTTTATTACATTAAAACAGTGGGTCAGGTTGCAGGGTGTATTGATCAACTTTATGCTACTGGGACCAAATATCTGAAACAACAAGTTACAGGAGGAAGGGTTTATTTATGCTGACTGTTGCAGGGCTCAGTCTACAGTCAGCTGGCTCCGAGGCAGATCTGTCGTGGTGGAGGGGCCTGGTGAAGCGTGGTGGGCAGGAAGGGAGCAGTGCAGAGAGGAAAGGCTAGGAGCAGATGCAGGACCGAGGGCGGTACTCCTGCGACACACCCAGACACATCCCGAGGCAGCTCTCAAACTAAAGTGACAATCCATCTAAGCTGTCACACAGGGACGTCTGATCGCTGGCTTTGCCCTCCTGCAAGGTTTCTAGATGTCCTGGTCATTGCCCTAAACCCGGATTCTGGCAGAGCCTCTCTTGTACCAAGGCTGCACCCCCAAGTGGAGACCATCATCCTATGGGGACTGGACTGCCCCTCCAGCCCAAAGTAGCTGAAACACCGATCAGCCAGAGCCTCGCCCATGAAAACCGGCTCTTCCCTTCAGCCATGGCCAGTCTGCCCTTCTACACCTCAAGGTGAACTCCTTTTCCTATTCTATCTTACCTTACAGTAGAAGCTTCTGCTTTTAAGTGTATGCTGTTCCTCTGTTGTGATGTCCATTATTACTGAATCGAGGGGCTGTGCTGGCTGTGACCAGCTGTTGAGTGTTAAGTGTCCATTGAGTTCTATGAGTTACTTCAGGAAATGACTCCAGGGAGAGGTTGAGGGACTCCAACTTATAACC